AGATCACCATCTTAGGGAGTAGGAACATTGCCATGTAGTAGTACACAATACTGGACAGGGAGGAGTTCAGGAGAATGAGTCTTCCCCCCGAGGATGCAGCGTTACCAATCCAGGTTTCACAACACTTAAGGAATTTATCATCAACAAAGTTCCAGTCCAGGTTGCGCAAAGTTGAGTAGCTCACAGGGACCCCCAAGTATTTCATTGGGAAGTGACCAGTTTGAAAATTAAAGATGTTCGCATAAGTTGCCAGGATGTTGTTGTCTCCACACACACACAGGATTTCACTCTTAAGGAAGTTAATCTTTAAGCCAGACATAAGTTCAAAGATATATAAGAGAAGTTTCAGGTTGACAGCGGCTTGTTCATCATGTTCAAAACAAATAACCGTGTCATCGGCGTATTGCAGAATAGCAACGCCATTTTCAATGAGATCTGGGGCCAACCCAGTTATCATCTTTTCCTTTTGAGCATTGCGAATCATCTTAGACAAGGTTTCCACCGCAAGGTTAAATAAAAAAGGGGAGTGAGGGTCGCCCTGGCGCACTCCCTTGTGGCTTTGAAAGTAAGGCCCAGTCACATTATTCAACTTAATGCTGACTGTGCCATTAGTTAGTATCTTCTTCACCCAACCACACCAGGTTTCACCAAAACCTCTGTTACTATGACACTCAAGGAGAAAATCCCAATTAATTTTGTCATATGCCTTCTCAAAGTCCAACTTCAGGACTACCCCAACTTTCTTCTTATGGTGTGTGTGGTGCAAGATCTCATGGAGAGTGAGGATCCCATCCATGATATTTCTATGTTTGATGAAAGCATTTTGGTGTCTGCTAATAAGTTTATCAGCAAAGATGGCTGCTCTATTGTCCATTACTTTAGTAATTAGCTTATAAGGACATCTAAGTAGGCAAATGGGGCGGTACTGTTGTATTTTCTTAGCACCATTGGTCTTAGGTATCAAGGTTATCACCCCATAGTTCAGACGTTCCACATCCAGGGTGTTATTGTGAAAAGCGCGAAACAAGCGCATAATATCTGTTTTAACAAAGTCCCAGCAGTGTTTGTAGAACTCAGCTGGGATGCTATCTGGGCCGGGGGCCCTATTGCTATCCATGCCAAATAATGCGTTTCTAACCTCCTCCTCCGTGAATTCACTGGTCAGGAGTATATTATCCTCTTTTGTTAGTTTCTCTTCTTCCGACCAGGTATCCGCGGATAGGTGAAAAATGTTTCCCCTGGCTGGTCCGAAAAGATTCTTATAATAAGCTGTGGCATGAGCCAGTAGGTTATCTGTGCCCTCAATCACTGTTTCGCCATCAGCGAAGGAGTGAATAGTGTTTTTCCGTTTTCTACCATTGGCCGCACGATGAAAAAAAGGCGTGTTTTGGTCCCCTTTTAGCAACCATCTCTCACTGGATTGTTGGAGCCAGAAGAGCTCCTCATTGGCCATTATATCATCGAGCTCCATCCGCAGGTTTGTTCTATTTTCATAAGTTTCTGGGTCGAGCATTTATTTGTAGGCTTAATTGTCATTTATAGCACCTAAATACAGGCGTTACTAGTAATGTCTCCATCTTTATGTACCTTAAACCCTTTGTAATTGAGGGCGAGAGGGGTCTGGCAAACTCTGTATAAGCCACCCCCCTCCTCAGGGACAGTGGTTCGAACCCCCTGTAACACACACGCATATAATCCAGTCGACCGCCTCTGGGCTTCGAGACGTAGGGCTGTTACTTCCTCTGAGAAGGGCCTAAACTCGTAAAACTCGCGTGTACAACTCCTCCATAGCTAGGATCTTGCCTCTACATCCCTACCCCCCATCTACTGTCAGGCTTAGAACCACGACAGGCTCCACCCACGAAGGGTCCATGAAGAAGCAACCTTGTCTATCCCACCATGGTCGTCGCCCACGAAGGACTTGCTTCACTTGGGTAGATCTTCACGAAGTAGGCGATCTCCTTGCCCTTACAAACTCCTTGGTTCAACTCCACAATCTTGATGGAGGCTCCCAAGTGACACCTAACCAATCTAGGAGACACCAATCTCCAAGAGGTAACAAATGGTGTGTTGATGATGAACTTCTTTCTCTTGTGCTTCAAATGATAGTCTCCCCAACACTCAACTCTCTCTCTCTCACACAGGATTTGGATTTGGTGGAAAGATGATTTGAGTGGAAAGCAACTTGGTGAAGGCTAGAGATCAAGATTTATGTGGTTGGAATGGAACATCTTGACCTCAACACAAGTGTAGGTGGTTCTCTCTCAGAAAATGTATGTTAGAAGTGTAGGCATGTTTTGATGGCTCTCTCCACGAATGAAAAGTGGGTGGAGGGGTATAAATAGCATCCACACAAAATCTAACCGTTACACACAAATCACCAAACTCGGTGGGACCGAATCATGAAACTCGGTCGGACCGATTTAGTTCAAAATGTGACCGTTAGGCATTTCGGTGGGACTGATATAATCGACTCGGTGGGACCGATGTGCTAGGGTTAGGGTAAAGCCTCATCTCGGTTTGACCGATTACACAAACTCGGCGGGACCGATTTGGGTAATAAGCAAAACAGAGAGTTGGCCAAGCAAACTCGGTGGGACCGATTGCATGTCTCGGTGGGACCGAAATTATTACAATAGGCAACCGAGAGTTTGCAAGCCCATCTCGGTGAGACCGAGATCCCATCAGTGAGACCAGATTGATTAGGGTTTCTGGCAGTGGCTATGTCAAGAGAACTCAGTGGCGCCGGATAGAAAGTTTCTGTGGGGCCGAGTTTGACTATTGGTTTGGGACATATGTGGATATGAGAAAGTGGTTGAGGGTTTTGGAGCATATCACTAAGCACTTTGAGCAAGCAAGCCATTGAGCAACACCTCATCCCCTCTTAATAGTATTGGCTTTCCTATGGACTCAATGTGATCTTGGATCACTAAAATAAAATATAGAGTCCTGAGCTTTGAGCTTGAGCCAATTCTTTGTCCTCAGCATCTTGAAGGGGTTCCACATCCTCTAGTCCATGCCACTCCATTGTTGAACTTATCTGAAACATACTAGGTAGAAGCATTAGTCCAACAAGACATATGTTGACATTAATTACCAAAATCACCCAGGGAGCACTTGTGCTTTCAACTCTTATGAAAGTTGATTGTGAGACCAGACATCTACGCAAAAGCCCCTAAATTAAATTTTAGATTTCTAGCGTAGTAAATATTATATTGTAGTAGGAAAATAATATCATCAGCATATCGCAACATGTTCACTCCATGAGGAATGTTTTCAACATGCACCCCTTTCACAAAATCATTTATATTGTCTTTTCCCATAATAGCAGCTAGGTCATCTGCCACTAGCTCAAAAAGTAAGGGGGACAGAGCATCTCTGTGATAACCTGACTTAATAGGGATGATAGACTACTCATATCTATAAGGAATTCCTTCTTTTTCGGAAGCCCATTCAGACAAAACTCCAAAGTTAAGCGTGCTCAGCTTGCAGTAATTTCAGCATGGGTGACCGACCGGGAAGTGCTCCCGGGTGTGCAGGAGTGATGACAAAGTGCGCAAAAAGACTAGTATTGATCTGTGGGGCCAGTCTAGATCCCGCCAGGAGTAACGACCACCGGCGGGTGTGTCCGGGGCATTACAAGTTGGTATCAGAGCCGAGCTCGCAGTTACACGGATGTTTGCAGACAGGTGCACGGTCATTTTGTTCATGACGTTTGTGACCCGTCGTGGCACACTACATGGTACATGTACTGGACTGGATGCACAGACATATGTGCCAAGAGGGAACGTTCCTGTGGCCCGACGAGGACGTCGGTTCCTCTGAGTGGGGGTGTATGTGATAGCCTGGCTTAATAGGGATGATAGACTACTCATATCAATAAGGAATTCCTTCTTTTCCGGGAGCTCTTTCGGACAGAACTCTAAAGTTAAGCATGCTCAGTGCGGACGAGTGAGGACAAAGTGCGCAGAAAAACTAGTATTGATCTGTGGGGCCACTCTAGATCCCGCCAGGAGTAACGACCACCGGCGGGTATGTCCGGGGCGTTACAAACTCCGTGCCTAAGCCCCATGTAGGTTTTAAAACAGGGACCAATCTTATCATGAACTTTAACTCTTACATTACCCCCTCTCATGGTCATCACAACCCTATCAGACCACTTATCAGGGAATCTTTTCATCTTTAACATTTGGATCACAAATGGCCATTTAATTTTATCATATGCTTTTGTAAAGTCGACTTTTAAAAAGAGTGCATTTTGTTTTCTATGATGAATAGAGTTCAATGCTTCATGCAACACTTTACCCTCTCCATAATATATCTCCCTTTGACATAGAGCAGTATGTGTCTTAGAGATCACAAGAAAACAATTCTACTAAGTCCATTCATTAAAATCTTCGTAATAATTTTGATCTAACATTTAAAAGACAAATGGGTCTGAATTTCTGAATTTCTTTGGCATCATCAGTTTTTGGCACAATGGTGATGGTTCCATAATCGTGTCTAGCAATATCAAGTTTTCTTTCAGCAAAATCATCCAAAAGCCCTTTCACATCTCACTTAACTAACTCCCAAAATTCCTGATAAAAATCAACAGGGAACCCATCTGCCCCCGGGCATTTGTTTTTCTTCATTTGAAACACAATATCATGAATTTCTTGCATAGAGAAGGGTTTAATTAATTCCTATGCAACATATGCACGTATTTGAGAAATGTCATGTAGATGTAGAGATATTTGTGAGCAATCAGGTTGCCCAAAAAGATTTTTATAAAAGTCAGTAATGTATTTCATTAATTAAATCTTCTCCCTCGATAGTTCCTTCATCCCGCTCCAAGGAAATGATTCTATTTTTACATCTTCTACCATTTACCCTAGCATGATAATATCTAGTATTGATGTCTCCATCTTTAATTTCTTTATCCTTATATCTCTGAAGCCATTTCATTTCTTCTTGTTTTAAAGTTCTGGCCAATCGTTCTCTTAAGTCTTTTTTTGCTTCTATCTATCTCCAATAGTAAGCCCCATGACGTCAGTATTCTTATCTATGACATCCAGCTTGCCAATGATTTCAATCTTAATTTTTCTGTACCAAGCATCTGCATTTTTATTCCACTCTCTAACCTTTTTCCTCAAGTTTCTTAATCTTTCTTGACATTTTTCTAAACTGTCACCATGGTAGGTTTCACTCCAAACTTTACACAGAAATTCTGTAAATCCCTCTGTTAGCACCCAAGAGTTCTCAAATCTAGAACTTCATTAGGATGTTCTCCAGTGTCAAGGGATAGAGAAGTGTGGTCAAAGACTTCTCTAGCAAAAGCTTGAAGTACCGACAGATGATATCCCTCCTCACATTCAGGACAACACATGACCCGATCAAATTTTTCATAAGTTGGGTCAGCTAAATTATTGGCCTAGGTATAGCGTTTACCATTTAATGGTATTTCTTCAAGTCCTGCATGCCCAATGATAGCATCAAGCACAAAGCTCCAATGATTAGGCTCATTGAGTTTTTTTTTCACTGCAATTCCTAATAATAATATTAAAGTCTCCACCAACTGAACAAGGCAGTGGGGGCTGGCGACCTAGTAGTGTCGGGGGCGTGACGGGGCAACGATTCGTGACCAATTTCTTCGGTTCGTTTTCATATAATAATCTTTTTCTGGGTTTTCACTTTGTTTATGAGAAACAACCGAGTGCCGACTGCCGAGTACTAAGACTGAAGTAACCAGGGAATCATCGCCGTACAGAAAGCAAACTGCAGCAAGCCAACAACCGTGACACAAAGCATATGAACTACGGAACCAAACACACAGGCACACACATGGTAAAATCGTAACGATTCCAGGTACATACGCGCCATGACAGTGCCCCTGGGCGGCGCATGGCGCATCATCCTCCGGTTCCGGGGGACCTCTACTCGTACCAGGTGTATCCCAGGGGCGGCGCGCGCACGCCGTAGCCGTAGCCGTAGCCATAGCCGGAGCTGTAGTAGTGGCAGCTGGGCAGGCCGCAGGGGCTGGAGTAGCAGCCCGGCGTGCAGCGGTACCCGTGGCCGGCGTACGGCGTCCCCTTCTCGCCGCAGTCGTCGCAGCACGGCTCCTTGCACGCCTTCTCGCACCTCTCCTTGCAGGCCTTCTCGTACTTGTCCTTCCAGGCCTTCTCGCAGGCCTCCTGGCAGGGGGTCTTCTTCTCCTTGGGCTTGTCGTCCTCCACGCTGACGATGGACGCGGCGTAGCACGACTTCCTCAGCTGGTGCACCACGCACACCGGGTCCACGGTGCCGACCACCGTCAGCGTGCACTTGTCGTCGTCGACCACCATGGACTTGATCCCTGGAGGGCCACGTACATTCGGTAAAGAGAAGCAGCAAGCGGTGCAGGATATACAGGGAGGAAGAGAGTCAGAGAGAGATATACCCTCGAGCTTGGAAACGATTGACAGGATCCCACTCGTGCACTTCTTGCCGACGAGATCGGCTCTGATCACAATCTTCTGCAGGCCATTCGAAAGCGAAAACACAAGCATAAATTCAGTACTACAAATGTTTTCATGATCGTAACGGCATGTCTACACCCTCGAAAGACAGCGAAGCAGAACGAAGAATATGGTCGCCAATTACCTTAGACATGGTGTGAGCTAGTCTTGGATCTGAGGTCGACGCGGACTCCTGAGTGTGCAGAGCAAGGCGCTGTCTGAAGTTATGTGAGAAATGCCTCGTTCCAAGTCAGTTTATATATGATCTGAAGTCAACTCAGCAACCTCCATATTGGTTGGGAATTGGTCGTAATCGTCGGAGTATATTCCTACTAGATGTGTTTAATCTAACCACTCCGCTGCTACTGGTCGAAAGAATTCTTTGAGACCGTAGATATACCATAGCTTCCTAACCGAATTGGTCAGTCTACGTCTTCCTTTTTTATGTTTTTTCATCCGTGGAAATGTCAAAGCCGTGGGCCTTTCAAAGTTCCAACACGCTTGCATTTTCAATCATGAGAACGACAGACGGCAATTCCGTGTATGTACCCGAGGAAATCAAGGAACGTTCCGCAAGTTGCATACGGTGGCAACTGAGAAATTAAGTCAACTCAAATGCCACTGTACCATTGGCTAGGATTTGGTCATGCTAGTCGTTGCTCTAACTGCTGGTAGAAGGACTTGGTTATCAATACAAGGTGTTGCAATTGCATTAGAATTCCCGGTTTGAATTTTTCTGTGAACAAGTTGATCAGCTGCTAGGATTGGATCCCCAAACCCATCCAAACTGGAGTTTTAATTCGAGGGGTACCACTCTCTTCTAAAATCCATGACACTTTGATCACGATTCAAGTTGGAGAGAAGGATAAATATAAATTTGTCACCTACAAAGGTAACGACGCAACAAAGACAATGAAGGGTTTCTTTTCTTGATTAGGGCAACTCCAACCAGCCAGCCCAAACAGACAACAAAAATGTTCTTTTTTGTCCATTTGGATGGCCTGGAGGGCACGCATGTGGCCCTTGACCCTCTATCACCCCTTATATTTGTGATTGTTATTGATGTCCTTCAATCCATGATGAATGAGGCCATGAACAACAACCTGACAGAGACACCAATCACACACCTATCCTGCACAGATTTCTCCATCATATAGTATGCTGATGATACCATCTTAGTGGCCAAAGCTGATGGCTGACAATTGGAACACATCAAGAACCTCCTAATTCATTATGCAGAATATTCTGGACTCAAAGTAAATTACTCCAAATCAATCCTCATTGCTATCAACACACCTATGGACATGATGGCACTACTAGGGAAAACCTTGTACACAGAATCTTAGCAATAGCGATTGTTAAAAAAGGGCGCTAATGCTAATAGCAGTAGCGCGTGCAGGTCAAACACGCTACAGATACACACGTAGCACTAGCGCATCTCCCTTTAAACGCGCTGCATTATCCAACCTTCTAGGTTGCAAAATTGGTACCCTTCCCAACAACCTATCTTGGTTTACCTCTCTGTTACACAAAACCAAGAGTGGAAGACTTTGTACCTATGTTAAAGAGGATTGAAAACAGACTGCTTGGATGCTCAACTCTGCTATCTATAGGAGACAAACTCACCCTCATTAAATTAGTTTTCTACAGTATGCCAATTTTCTTCATGTGCACTTTAATGTTACCTCAAGCAGTAATCAAGCAAATCAATTCCTATCTCATGAATTGTTTCGGAGAAAATTTGGTATCCAAGAAAGAGGATCGGTACTTATTTCATGGAAGAAGGTATGTCAACCAAAATCACAAGGGGGCTTGGGTGTTCTGGATGTCCACACTCATAATCAGGAACTCCTCATGAAGTTCTTACATAAGTTCTACAACAAAGAGGATACACCCTAGGTCAAAATCATTTGGGAAACTCATTATCAGAACAGTCTACCAGGAGAGAAGATGGTGGGCTCATTATGGTGGAAAGCTATTCTCAAAACTTTGCCCACTTTCAAAAACCAGACTACTTGTAAGCCTGGTAGGGGAGACACTGCATTATTCTGGACAGACAAATGGATGGGTGAAGCACTGCAACACAAATTCCCCGAGCTTTTCTCATTTGTCATCAACAAAGAGATCACTTTAGCTAAAGCTATGGATCAACATGAATTCGTCCCCTTTTGTTGGGGAACGTAGCATGCAATTTTTTAAAAAATCCTACGCTCAAGCAAAATCTATCTAGGAGATGCATAGCAACGAGAGGGGGAGAGTGTGTCCATGTACCCTCGTAGACCGAAATAGGAAGTGTTTGACAATGCGGTTGATGTAGTCAAACTTCTTCTGTTCTGACCGATCAAGCACCGAACGTACGACACCTCCGATTTCTGCACACGTTCAACTCGATGATGTCCCTCGAACTCTTGATCTAGCAAAGTGTCGACGGAGAGTTACGTCAGCACGGCGGCGTGGTGACGATGATGGTGAAATGATCTGCGCAGGGCTTCGCCTAAGCACTACGACAATATGACTGGAGGCGTAAACTGTGGAGGGGGGCACCGCACACGGCTAACAATCGTTATTGTGTGTTCTAGCGGTGCCCCCCCCCCCACATATATATAGGTTGGAGGGGAGGAGGGCAGCCAAGGGGGTGCCCCAAGTAGGAGGAATCCTACTTGGGCGCCACCCCAATTCGACCTCCCCCTTCCATATCTTCCGGAGGGGGAAGGAAGGAGGAGGGAGGAGGGAAGGAAGGGGAGGCCGAATCCCTCCCCTTCCTTCTCTCTTCCACCTCTTTCCTTCTCC